TATAGCCAAATTCCAGAGTTCCCAGGTCAAGGAGAAAATATGACAAGCTGCCAGAAGGAAACAATTGAAGTACTGTGGAAACACAATCAGGATAACACAAGATTTAACAGCTTCTACATTAAAGGACGCAGGGCATGGAATATAATATTCCAAGGGCAAAGGAGATAGGATTACAACCAAGAATCACCTACCCAGCAAAACTGAGTATAATCCTTCAGGGAAAAAATGGTCATTCAGTGAAATAGAGGACTTTCAAGCATTCTTGATGAAAAGACCAGAGCTGAATAGAAAATTTGACTTTCAAATACAAGACTCAGGTGGAACGTGAAGAGGTAAACAGGAAAGAGAAATCATAAGAGACCCATTAAGATTCAACTGTTTACATTTCTGCATGGAAAGATGATATTTATAACTCATGATACCTTTGTCAGTATTAGGGTAGTTGTAGAGAAAAAAATAGATAGATAGATAGTAGATAGATAGATAGATAGATAGATAGATAGAGGCACAGGGTGAGTTGAAGATGAAGGGTCATATCTGGAGAATAAAATTAAGGGATGAGAGAATTACTGGAGAAGAAGAAAGGGAGAGGTAGAATGGGTAAATTATCTCACAAAAAAAACAGAAAAAAAGTCTCTTACAGTGGAGGGGAAACAGGGAAGGTGAGAGGGAATGAGGGAATCTTATTCTCATAGGATTTGGCTTAAGGAAGGAATAACATATACTTTCAGTTGGGTATGGAAATCTGTCTTACCCTACAGGAAAATAGGGAGAGAAGGGGACAAGAGAGCAGGGGGATGATAGAGAGGAGGGCAGATTGGGAAAGAGGGTAATCAGAAGCAAATACTTCTGAGGAGGGACAGGGTCAAAAGAAAGAATAGAATAAATGGGAGGGCAGAATAGGATTAAGGGAAATAAAGTTAGTTTTTCACAACATGTCTACCATGGAAGTGTTTTGCATAACTGCACATGTACAATCTATATTGAGTTTCTTGCCTTTTCAATGAGGGTGGGTGGTGAGGGAGGAAGAGAGAAAATTTGAAACCTAAAGTTTTAAAAACATGTTTAAAAAAATGTTTTCACATGCTACCAGGAAATAAGAAATACAGGAAATGGGGTACAGAAGTCTATCCTGCCCTACAAGAAAATAGAAGGGGAAGGGGATAAGAGAAGGGGGGAGAGATAGAAGAGAGGACAGACTAGGGGAAGGGATATTCAGAATGAATGCCATCTTGGGGTGGGGAGGGGTGAGATGGGGTGAAAATTTGGAACTCAAAAACTTGTGGAAGTGAACGTTGAAAATTAAAAATAAATAAATTTGTATTTTAAAAAAAAAGCATTGATTCGGCCCAGCCACAAAAAAAGGAAAAACAGAGCAATTCTGTGTGTATATATGCGTATGTATATGTTGGGAGAGACGGATAATGGAGGAAGATGCTATAGAACAGAGCTAGAGAGGAAAAGGTCTGTTTGCCCAAGGGACAAAGAACTAGAATTCTAGGTGGGGGCAGTCTTCTCCCTATAAAGCTTACAAAGAACAGGGATGTTACCAGGACTCTAAATGTCTAAACTCAAGGAGGTTTATGTCCCAGCCCCAGATGTCTATGAAGGAGAAAAGTTATACATCACAGCAGTGGAAGGAGGACGTAGCAAAGACAAAGGAGGAATACCAGAAACATAACAATGAGAACATAAGAAAAAATGTACTAACATGAAAAAAAAATAATCAAATCAGAATGTTTGGGCATAGAATTAGATTCCAAGTAGGTACAACAGCAATAAAGTTCATTAATAAAGGGAAAAAAAGTTAAGCCTATAGCATGGAAAATAAGTACTGTACCATGGACTTAAATAAAATAAAATCTCCCACTGAAAAAAATATTCTACAGATTACCAAAAGATCATGAATAAACATCAAGGAGCTTCAGAATAATTCAAAAGAGAAGTACAGCTTTAAAATAAGATATTAAAGTAGAAATTAAATAAGAAATGTGATCTGTCAAAGCAGGAAAAAGTGAAAATAAATTCTAGAGTATTAGGACACACAAAATAGATTTTTCCAAAGTAGAAGAAGCCCGGAAAAGATAACGATGTATTTAAAATTTAAAAACACAGAAGCACAAAAAGAGTCTAAAAAGAAGTAAAATACAATTTTAAAAGAATACATGAATTTTATACAAGCCAGTGCATAACCTTGAAGAACATAAAGGTAAATTAGGAATCATAGGCTACCTACAAGACAATAATCTTTTTCAAAAATTTAGTATTGGAAATAAAAACAATAATGGCCAGAATTTTTTTTAATAAAGAATCAAAGTATTAATGGATAGAAACCACAGGTCCATGGAAAAGGAGAGAAGGTATTGAGTGGTTAAATTTAAGATTTTCAGTATCAGATCATATGTTTTATAAGTAGCCAGGTTAAAGTCTTAAGGAATGAAGGAATCTCATTTTGAATAAATCAAGATTACTCTGCAGACAGCATAAATCAAAGACAACAATGGATTGGGATATTCCGGAAAGCAAAGGAGCTCAAGACCCAAATAAATAAATAAATCCCCTAGACATGAACCAGATAGAGGCATTTGAGGCATTTCTGGAAGCAACAATGGAGGTTTTAGACTATTTAAATCACAAAAATTCCAAAAAATAAAGGTTAGTAAGTGAAATAAGTAAGAAGACACTCATCAATGAAAAGATTCATATTTCTCGCCTCTATTTCAAAATAAATGGAGGAGCAAAAAGAAAGAATGAAGAGTGGTAACTGAGTTCTTAGGGCCTAAAATGTAAGATCTTAAAGAGTTAGGAGAAGGGAAAGAGGAAGAGTTTAATTAATGTTCCATCTAATAGCTACATGGTTCCCTATGAGTGATTTAATATCTTGTTTGGCAAATAAAATACAGTGGAAAGTCAGTCAAAGATGAAGAAAGAAATTAAGAAACAGAAAGGAGTTGGAAATATACCCCTACTCAACTTGTAAATGAGAATAGAAGAGATGATAATTTCTTCAGCTTCTCAACAAATTTGTGGGGGAAGCATGGTATTTCCAGGAAAGAGCATTGGCAGAAAGTGACCCAGGGGAGGGGAATGGAAGGTCCTATCCTACAGGATACATGAAAGGGTACTATTATGGAATATTAGTGGAAATGTCTACTGAGAAACAGAAACTTAATGGTTTTTTTTCTGAAGAGAATGCTTAGTAAGAGAAAAACCTTCTCTGAGAAACAGTAGTACTTCCCAGGATTTAATGCTGCAACAGGAGAGGGAATGTATGAGTCCCAAGGGATAATCAGCATCAAAGGAGTAAGAGGAGACCTAGGTTTAAAGATAGGACAAAATGGCCTTTGAAGTGGTAAATAGTGATTATATTATCTAGCAATAGCAATAGGTATAGTATTTCAGGATACAGAGTTGCTCTCACCACAGATCACTGCTTTTTTTCATAAATTATATTTCTAGAAGTGTGTTAACTAGAAGCCGCCACCAAAAATTAAGATATATACATATATATATATGTATATATTTGTATATATACATACACGCATATTTATGCGTGTGTATATGTGTGTGTGTTGGGAGGAAGGGATTAGATCTAAAAACAAACTCAAATGAAAATGAGATAAAAGACGGAGATTATTGAAATAATCAACCATGAATCTAGGCTACTGATGATCCACGGCATCCACTCTTTAAAGGGAAATCATGGATTCATTTTTGGCCATGACTACTGTGGGAATTAGTTTTAGGCGACTACATATATTTGCTACAAGGGGCTCTCCCCTCCCATAAGGGAAGATGGAAGGGACAGAAAATACTCAGAAAATGAAAATATAATTTTTTTAAAGAGTAAGCTCAAATTTGTCCAAAACTTATCTCATAACACAGTAAGGAGGATAAACATTGGACATGCAATAAGAGTATAAGTGTATCCCATTAAAGGTAGCTTGAAGATCAAAGGTGCGGGGTGGGGGAATAAGGAGGAAGAAGTAAATGAAAACTTGGGTGGGAGAAGACTACCACAAAAGAGTGCTACTTCAGCTAAGAATTTGGGGCCAGGTAAGGGAGAATTTTGAATCATACACTTGCCTTGGATGGGGGAAAGACCAGAAAGGCCAATTAGCAATACACTTTTTAAAGTTGATTTATTTTATTTTGTTTTGTTTTTCACCTTATTTTTAGTTTTCAACATTCACTTTTATAAGATTTTGAGTCCTAAGTTTTTCATCTTCCCTCTCCTCTCACCTCCCCACGATGGCATGCAATTTGATATAGGTTATACATGTACAATCATATTAAGGATATTTCTACATTGGTCATGTTGTGAAAAGAGAATCAGAACAAAAAGGAAAAAAACACAAGAAAGGAAAAAAATAATAGAAAATAGTATGCTTTGATCTACATTCAGATTCTATAGTTCTTTCTCTGGATGTGGATAGCATTTTCCATCATGAGTCATAAATTAGCAATTTAGGAAAATTCAAATAATGTGTGATAGAACATCTTGCAAATACGGAGATGGAGAAACCAGTGTCCAGAGAACCTGTGTGACTAGACTAGTATCAATAAAGGGCAGTGGAGGAGGGAAGAGGAACTAAACCAGGAGATAAAAGTCAGCACAAAAAAAATAAAAGGAAGAAAACACAAATCTAACAATTATACCTTTCTATGTTGATACATTAAATTAGCTAATAAAATAAAAGAAAATAACAAACTAAGAAAAATCCACTAACTTGCCGTATACAGTGAATACAAATAAAAATAGATACACTTAAAATGGAAAAAAATAAACATGCTTGTTGAATTGAATCAAATAATTTGCACTTAGGCACTAAATAATTTTTATTGAATTAAATTGGGGAACAAGGGACATACAAGGGAAAAATAAGGACTAGAATTCAGTTCTAATCACTTAGAACATCACTTCCAGAATAATATACTTCCCACAATTCCATCTGCTCAAAATTTATATACCTTATTATCACTTCTCCCCAGGTGTTCAAATTCACACTGGTTAAATTGACACCTAGAGATTTAAAATTCAAAATCTGCTTTTCTCAGTACTGAACAAAGATTTTGATTAATAATATTGAAAATTATGTCACTCAATCAAGCATCAAGAACCTTCCTGCAAGATTACTATTGTCTTCAAATTATTGCTCATGTCATATAAACTACGTGTCAATAAGGTCTGAGAGACCACAGGTAAGTCATTTAACCTCTTAGAGACACTTTTTCCTCATCTGTAAAATGGCGAGACAAATGTTTATACTACTTATTTCACAACTGTGAGGAAGCATTCTGTAAAACAAAATGTTATCTATTAACGTTAGTATAGTGGGACTCTACCCTAGAAAGAACCTGAAATTACAGAAGAAAATAACTTATAAGAGGCCAATGCTATCATTAAGATACAACAAGACTTGAATTCAGGCCCAAACAACTAAGTGGAAAAACAATTGCTTTTCAAATATTCAGTTTTATAACTGAGTTTTAATACTGAGCCTAAGATATGTAACACAGTTATATATTGTTGACTTTGGACCTCAAATTCTAATTTTTCATTCAAAATATTTTCAAGTGTATTATGAAGAATATGAAAACTTCCAGGTGAATATATCCATTTCCTCCCAGAAGTTAGAAATTATTTGCAAGAATTTTTAATAAGGAAGTAAGTGGTAATAATAATAAGTTATAAAATTATCAATTTGATTCTGATAGAAAAGCTCATCGGCGTAAATGCCTTTGCCTAAAAAAATCTGCACAGGCAGACCTAGATGATAACATACAAAACGCCATTGTGAGTTTCAGAAGGGCATTAAGTGTTTTTAAGTAATAAACTTTTTTGTTTGAGAAGACATACAATGAAGTTATAATAGCATATAAAGAAAGTGATTATGCACGCATCTAATCCCTCTCTTTGAATTAATATCCATGATAAGATATTACAGGAAAGAGTCCACAAAACAATAGTTAACTGGAAAGCTTGGAGTTGGCGGGTCTTTATAGTACATAGTATTACCAACTATATTACCAGTTCTTTCTCTGTAAGCTGAAGGAGTAAGCTTGCCAAGCTTTTACTTACAAAAGCTTATAAAATTCATAGTAAAGGGGCAAGTCTTTGAAAACTTAAAAAATAGAGGAAGAGATAGATTGAAAAGCAGCTGCTTATGCCTTTTGATTTCAGTATTTCCTAGCAAGTCATGATGTCTTCACAGCCACTTGCTTCATGCTTAAAAGTTTCTGAAGGCGGATTGATTGCTCCCAAACTGCTACATAGTTTTCGTTGATTAACCACATATATTTTTGCCAATATGTCTGGCTACCTTTTTAAAGTTAGTGCACTGCTGGCAGTATTACAAAAACAGATTTTGAGGATTGGAATCAGATTTGGCAGTAAAGGATTTGGTTCCAAATTCATAGGTGATCTTAAAATTTCATGTGACATAAAAAGAAAAATTTTTGCAGCAGAAAACGAAAGCCTGGACTTCTATTCAAAAGGACATGTCAGTTGGCAAATGGTTATTTATCTTACATTTTTTACTTTATCTCTAACTCCTTTAAAGGAAACACTACCTCTAATTATAATATATATTATAAAATTATATATGCTTCCCCCACACTCCCATCAATATCTTCCTTTATGGAATGAAGTAAAATCCTGCCTCTCCTAAAGCAAAAAAAGGACAACTTTTCAAAACCCCATTACAATAAAAGAATCTTTTGTCCTTCTCCATGGCATTTTTGGATTTTAATGAGTTGTTTATGTATCTCAATGGCTTGAAAAGACAGATGTATTTTATGTAATCTTCCATGTAAGTTTTTTTCATTTCCCTTATAAATTACTTTTCCATGTTTTAAAATGTAGTTATGTTTTCAGAGAAAAATGGCCCAAAAGTATGAGAAGTTATTTGTTGGCCACCATGAGCCTTTAGATAAAGTAAGCATAAATCACAGTGGGTAATAAAATTCTAACATATAAATAAACCACAGCTTTATTGAAGAAATGTCTATTAAAAAGTGTGTTGTCCCATTTTGTCCCCTCCCAAGAATGTTAATATATTAGTTTCATTTGAAAGCAAACAGTTTTTTTTAAACCCCATTTCTCATTTTGATGCACCAAAGGAGGACCTGACCCAATTGCAGTCTTCAAGGTTCCTCAGAATCCAGTGATGAACTGCTTTCCTCCAGCAAAGGGCTTGTATGCTCTGGGAGCTAAGGCCATAAATTATAAGTTACATGCAGAGAAAGAACAATAAAGAACAAAGATGCCAAACCCCTGAAATCCATAATTGAATAACAATAATTTAAGTAAACGTCAAGCTGCATGTTGTAGATTGTCTGACTCACTGAAGCACAGACTGAACCAAATGGTTTCTTGTTTTTTCATCTCTATAAAGCTTTCCTGCTGCTCTTAACTCTTATGGGTTTGGATACAAATCAAAAGTAGGGTTTAACTTCATCTGGAAACTGATTCCAGAACATAAACAGAAAACAAAATGCTCCCCCTTCCACTCCCTTTGGAATTGTTGAAACAGACTGACAAATAGGTGCTTTGCTGGATGGTTAGAAGGCCTGCAGAGTTAAAGGGGCGCTGTGGAATCACCGACTCCCTCAGTGGAAGAGTTGGGTAATGAAGTTCCTTTGAAGTAGAAACACCTACCTGGTAAGTGAGCTGCCAAAACGTTTCCAATTAAAGGAACATGATCTATAAAGGAGTGACACACTCAAAAAATTCATCCAATCCTTCTGTAACTTCACAATGATGGCTAACCAATAGCAATTGCCCTAGAATTGTGTTTATCATATTATCAGAACTTTAAAGCTGATGACCTTAAATGTGATCCAGCCCATTCTTCTTGCTTGACAGATAAGAACACTAAGATCCAGAGAGTTTCAGTGATTGACCCAAAATTACAGCATTAGCTGGGGATAGAATTAAGATTAGAACTCAGCCCTACTGATTCCCAGAGCATTGGTGTACTGAAATTAAAAGCAGATACTTCTTTCAATGTGGGAAATGCTGGAAGACAAGAGTACTCATGGATTTTTTTCCCACAATTTCCTAAAGTGTAGTCCTGACCATGTTACTCTTCTGCTCAATAAACTCCAACGGCTCTCCCTTGCCTCTTCGAAATACGATCTCTTCTTTGTGGTTTTTAGAGCACTTCAAAAACTGATTGAAACCTACTTTTTCAACTTTATTACTCTTTGTGCTACTAGCCAGCCAAATTGGCCTTCTTACCTGTTCCTCACACAAAATATTCCATCTCATGTCTCCATATTTTTGCAGTCTATCCCCAGCGGCTGGACTACACTCTCTCCTCACCTTTGCTGACTAGATTTAAAAACTCTGCTGTAATACCACCTTCTATTTGGTCAATTTCCCAGCCTCTCCAGCTATTGGTGACTACACACACACACACACACACACACACACACACACACACAGAGAGAGAGAGAGAGAGAGAGAGAGGAGAGAGAGAGAGAGAGAGAGAATACACACACACCTTGTATTTATTTCATATTGTACTTATTTTCATGCTTGTTGTCTCCCCTGACAGAAAGCAACCTCCTTGGGGACAAGGGCCTTTCCTTCCTTCCTTCCTTCCTTCCTTCCTTCCTTTCTTCCTTCCTTCCTTCCTTCCTTCCTTCCTTCCTTCCCTCCTTCCTTCCCTCCTTCCTTTCTTCCTCTTTTCCTTTCTTCCTTCTTTCTTTCCTTCTTTTCTTCCTTCTTTTCTTTCTTCTTTCCTTATTTTCCTTCCTTCCCTTCCCTTCCCTTCCTTCCTAAGGCATTATTTTGAGGTTTTATATAAAGTGTTTTGCACCACAGATATCAGCATCCATGCAAGCAGTAGTTCTTTCCACATGGAGTATAAGTGGGGAAAACTAGATAACTAGTTCTGGACTTCCATCTTAAATTGCTCAATGGTGAGGGCATACTTAAGCTGTATCACCCATAATCCTTTGTACAGTATCCTAAATCAATAGAGCACTTCCATTTGCAGATAAGTGAATTAGAGTGCTAAGGGATTAGAGTCAGGAAGAACTGAATTCAAATCTTATATACATTTACTAGCAATTTTACCCTAGGCAAGTCAGTTAATCTGTCTGCTTCAGTTTCCTCATCTGGTGTCTTCAAAATTGGGTCACTAAAGAAGATTTATATATCTCAGCAGGGCATAGAAAAATTCAAAAAGAAAGAAATAGTAAATACTTTCTTACAGACCATAGCACAATAAAAATTGAACTAAGTTCAAGGATTGCAACAAAGACAAAAACTTAAATGGAGACTTAACAATGAAACCCTAAATAATGAGTGTGTCAAAAAAATCATAAAAACAATGAATAATTATGTGAAAGGAAATTGTAATGAAAAAGACACCATGACAAAATTCCTGGGATGCAACTAGTTCTCAGGGGGAATGTTACAAGCCTATAAACACAAATTAACAAAACAGAAGATCAGTTAACTGAATTAATTCTAAAAAACAGAAAGGCAACAAGTAAATGAATCTAAAATAATTGCAAAAGAAAAGATTTTAAAAGCTAAATGAAAGTAGATAAACTGGAAATACAAATCTATAAAACTATACAATGAAAAGCTAGTGCTTTGAAAAGACTAACAAAATTGGTAAATCTTTAGCCAATCTTATTAAAAAAGAAGACAACAATCAAATCACAAAATAGCAAATATCCAAGGTGAAATCACAACAAAATCAGGAGAAATAAAAAGAATAACCAGAAGCTATCACACAGAGTTACATGTAAATAAAACTGAGAACACAAAAGAAATAGAAAAATATCTTTAAAAAAAAACAGAACACCAAATACAGACATTGAATAATCCAATTTCAGAAAAGAGAAAAAAGTCATTATCTGCATAGGAGCTACCAAAGTAAAAATTTCCCCCTCTTCATAGATTTATGGGAGAATTCTGTCAAACAACTCATAAGACACAAAGTATTTCAAAAATTTGAAGAAGACATCCTACAAGAATTGCTTCATTAGACTAATATAGTCCTTATAGCTAACCCAGGGAAGGATAAAAAATTGTAATAACTATAGATCAATATCATTAATGAATATCAGTTCAAAAGTTTTAAATATAATCCTGTCAAGCAGACTAGTGTGTATCATCCAAGAAATCATTCATTATCACCAAATTGGATATATGATGTTAGGATGACTCCACATTAGGAGAGAAATAAACATAATTAATCACTTTATAAACAAGAACATCCAAAATTTTGTGGTTGTCTTAATAGACAAGGGGGAAAAAATGACAAAATACAACACTCATGGTAAACAACCCTAAAAACTATAGGCATAGAGGGAAGTTTCTATATCATGAAAAGTATTTATCTAAAACAAAAAAAAAATCATATGCAATGAGGATACATTAGAACCTTTTCCAGTAAATATGGGAGTAAATCAAAGATTCCCACTCTCCCCACTATTATTTGATATAGTTCTGGAAATGCTAGCAATAGCAATAAAATAAGAGAGCAAAATTAAAGGCATGGAGATAGGTAAAGAGGGTAGGTAAAACTATCTCTATTTGTTGATGTTAAGAAAGTTTCCTGGGACAATCCAAGAGAATCACCCAAGTTACTGAGACAATAGTTTCAGCAAACTTCAAGGCTACAAAATAAACTCTCAAAAATCAACATTTGCATGGAATAATAACAAAATTCAAGAGGTAATAATAGAAAGGAAAATCCTATTTTGAGTACAAAATGCATAAAGTGTCTGGGGATCAACCTACTAAAATACACAAAAGGCTTGTGTAGATTAAATTACAAAGGGCTCAAAGAAATAACTGAAAAACTTAAATAGCTGGAGAATTATTGAGTGCTTATGGATGGGCTGGGCCAATATGACACTTTAATAGACACTTTTAATGCAATACTCATCAAATTATCAAAGGGATACTTTATTGAACTTGATAATATAATAACAAAATTCATTTGAAAAAATAAGGGAAGTAATATAAAGAGATAGGGATAACCTCAAATCATATGAAAAATATCAGTCATCAAAACCAGCTGATATTGGTTAAAAAATAGGTAGATTAATGAAACAGACTAGACAAAGAAGAATCAGAAGCAATGGAACTCAATAGCCTGGTGTTTGATAAAGTGAAAAACATAAATTATTTAGGGAAAATTCTTATTTAATTAAACTGCTAGGAAAATTGGGAAGGAATCTGGCAGAAATTAGGATTAAATAAACATCTTATGTATTCCACAATATAACCTAAATATATGCATGATCTTAATATTAAAGATCATACTATAAAAAGAAAATTAAAAGAAATACAGATCATACATTTCTTATAGTTATGGGTGGGAGATTTAATCTTAACCAAATAATGAATAGAGGCAAATACAAAAGATAAAAAAGGTAACTTGCATTATATGAAACTGCTATAGAGATAATAATGTACCTAGGATATAAAGGGAAGCACAAAAAGGGCTGCATTCAGACCCAGGGCTGGGCCTGAGTCTAAATCCTCATTCTGCCACTAATAACCTGTGTGGCATTGGGCAAGTCAATAATCTCTATGGGATTTTGTTTCCTCATGCATAAAAGGAGAATTTGAACAGGATCTTGAACTTAGAGATGGAAGGGAGCTTAGAAGTCATCTAATATACCTAGTCTTCATTTTATAAATAAGGAAAGTGAAGCCCAGGGCTTAAGTGACTTTCCCAAGGTCACTAAGCCAGTAAGATAATAAAGTGGAAGAGCAGTGATAAATGATTTCTGGGATCCTTGCCCTCAAAAAGCTTATATTCCTCATAATTATAGGTTGTAAATTTTCTACCTCAATTAATTATATTTGATTTGCAAAAGCTGGAATTAGCACACAGAATTTTCAGGATCATATCAATTACCCATTCTGAGATTTGTCAAATTAGCATTTTTAAGATTATTTTTTCAATTAGCAAAATCTGTCTTCTCTCCCTCCCCCCCATTGAAATAGAAAGAAAAACAAAACCCTTGTAATAAATATGCATAGTTGAGGAAATCAAATTCCTACACTGGCTATGTACAAAAAAAAAAAAAAGATATTCATGTCTCCATTTGCACCCTGAATGCATTACCTCTTGATCAGGAGATAGGTAACATCTTCCATCATGCGTCCTTTGGGGTCATGGCTCGTCCATATGCTGATCAGTCTTCTTAAGTCTTTGGGTTTATCTTTATAATGTTGTTATTGTTCCCTTGGTTTTACTCAATTCACTCTGTGTCCAATTATACAAGTATTCCCAGGTTTCTCTGAAATTGCTTTGTCTGTATTATGTATATTACTACATATTAGTATTAGGGATGTGTGTCCACTTTTGGATGATCAACTTGTTGAAGACAAGTTTTATGTCATTGTTGCCTTCAAAAAATTGATTGGTAACGCCTAGAAAAGAGCCTTCTACAGAAGGAATGTATTTTAGATGTGAGGCTTCTAATCTATACACCAGGGAATCCAGGAGGGGTACATAGATTATTTTACAAGGGCCCAGGTCATTAAAAAGTTTTTCATTATGAACTCATAATATGCACCATTGCATGCATATATTGCTATTTGTCAAAAACAGGCAGATAAAGTTGTGATAGATAGATAGATAGATAGATAGATAGATAGATAGATAGATATAATATTTCCCCACAGATAATTCACATCCTATTTATTTGTAGGTTTTCAGAACAGATGTAGCAGAAGCTGAGTAAGGAATGCCATGAGCATGTCACATGGAGCATATGACTGTGCCTTCTCCCCACCTAGAGCTATTGTCCCTGGAGCATGGATCAGGTCCCTTTTGCCTCGAGCTTAGGTCTGGAGCCAGCAGCTAATCTTCCTCATACTTGTACTTTCTGTGCTTCTACAGTTTCCTATGATTAATATTGTCTTAGATAGTGCTGCTGCCCTAGTCAAAGGCTCACTGGAAGAGCAAGAAGTCCATAGCAATGGTCAGTGCAAAGTGGATGTCGTGCGGAAGAAGATAGAGCACACTTGCCAAAGCATCCTTCGGGGTACCATCTTTTGCTGGCCCAGCCTTGCCCACACCTAGTTGTGATATGTTTTAAAGCTGATTAGATGCTTCAGTCCAAACTTTGGAAGATTAAAGTAACAAAAAAAAATAACATTTTCATACATCAATAATAAGATATAAAAAGATCAAGTGAAAGAAGCTACAAAAATGTTCTGAATTACCTGTTTACAGGATTGTAGATTTAGAGCTAAAACCTTGAAAATCATCTAATCTAACCCTCTAATTTTATAAATTTTATAATTTATGATTTTATATATAATATATAATTTTATAAATGGGAAAACTGAAGAAGTTAAATGATTTGCACAAGGTAAAACATCTAGTAAGTCTGAGTCTCAATGTGAATCTGGTTTCTTTTACTTCAAATCTAGTGTTCTGTCTTTTGTACCATTAAATTTATTAATTTAGTCAATCAATTTTTAAAAAGCATTTACTAAGCACCTACAATGTGCTTAGGAAGCTAGGTGATATAGTGGATAAAGCACAGGATCTGAAATCAGGAATCAAATCCAGGCCCAGATACTTACTAGCTGTGGGACCCTGGACAAGTCCCTTTACCTCTATTTACCTTTACCTACTATTTACTTTACAATTTCCTGTACTGTAAAATGGGGATAGTAATATCACCTATATTACAAAGTTGTTCAGAGGATAATATTTGTAAAGTTCTTAGCATAATGCCTAGAATGTAGTATGTGCTTAATAAATGTTTATTCTCTCTCTTCCTTCATGCAAGGCACTGGGAACACAAAGACAGAAATGAAACAGAACCCCCATTGAGGGAGTTTAAGTTCTGCTGGAGGGGTGCAACATGGTGCCTAAGAAATGAAGTTTGCTTGCCTACTCTAAGAAGGAGGACTTAAGTTCTGATGAAAAAGTCATTTGATTACCCTGTTGTTGTTTCCTTCTCTTCTTAGTCCTTAACTTTGTCAAAGGATTAATCTTTCCTTTTAGAATAAATGAAATTGAAAAGTCAGCTTTTAGACTGGGATGGCAATAAATTGGGAAGAAACAATATTGAAATTCTAAACTATACTAGAGAACAACCTGCCCTTCTTCAAATGAAAACTTTTGACTCTTTCTTTGAGGAGTTTATTAGATGAGGGAAAATCGCATATGATTTTTGATAACAGGTCACATCTTCACAGTCATACAACTGACCAAAAGGTTTATTGACTACAAGAGCCTGCTGTCCATTGTTTATTAATCATACACACACACACACACACACACACACACACACACACACACACACAGACATACAAAAAATATGACTCCACTCTAAAGCAAAATACAGTCTTGAAGACTCATCCCCAGCAATGTGTGTTCCATCTATTTATTAAGTTTACATAAAATTTCTTGAGTGACACCTATAGATATCAACTTGGTCAATGATACAACATGTATCCAAAAACAGGGAGGAATCAAGCAGAAAGACATGTGATCACCTAGGGCATTCTCCTTTTTCACAGAGGATATGTCATGAAGAGTAATTTCTCATCAATGGTGAGATTTTACAGATGTGCTCGCTTGTGGATAGCACCATACTTATTGAATCAATATCAATCAGAATCTATAAGAACCATATTTACTGGAAAGAGATTGGCCTAGGCATCCATACAGGAAAAATGAAGTAGGTGAAAAATGCCAATTCACCAGACTAAGTGCAGTTGGTTGTGCAACTCATCAGTATCTCTGTTGTGGGTAGGTATTAAATAGGGACAATGAAGAACCCAGCATTGAATAAAATGATGATATTGGTCTGGATTACTTTCAAAAATTGTACAGCATATTACAGGATTTCATATTGCTTACAAACACCAAAGTCTTTCTTTCTGACATCAGTATTCTCCTCATGATGTTGACTGGCTACAAATCATTGAATATCACAAACTTAAGGAATCAGTGGAAAAGAGCTTGAGGGCAAGGGTAGAAGTTGGATACAGTCTGGTAGTGTACAGCCAGAGGGGTGGTTATACACAGAGCTTGTATTTAATAAATGGGCAGTTTAACCAGTTAAGATATGGATGTGGGAAAGACAGCGAGAGTGAGAGCATGAGAGAGAGAGAGAGAGAGAGTCATAAATTTAGAATAACAAATGAAAACTCTAAATAAAGGGTAGAAAGAAGCAGGTTTTGATGACAAACCAGTGTGCTCTTATCACACACACTAAATTATATGGAAATCATAGGCATATGTCTTTCAGACTTCACTCAAAATTCCAGATTCACCTTTGAAGAGGAAAATTTATAGTATTTCTTTGATAATGCTATTTGTAAGGGAATAAAATCCAGGCATGGAACACAGAAACTTCCAAAAAATATTTTTGAAATAACTCTGTAAGCCCTGAGATTTATCTGTCAGGTCCTTTCTTTTTTCTTAACCTGATAATACTTAAGTTATTTGGTTGTCATTTTTTTTTTTCAAACAGGCCATATTAGAATCTTGGCAGGAATAAGAACTTGCATTGAAATCTTTCTCCCAATATTTCATTGTGCTGTGAGGGTTACTCTTAGTTCTTAAAGGGCATGTCAGTGAAACCAAGCTCTGGCAGACTCATAGAAGCTGGAAAACCTTCAAGTGTGGCCCCTGTGAAGGACTATGTATGTCCTCCAAGAAAAAACCTTGTTAGGTCTGGAGAAGCTTATCACCAGAAGACCCAACAAAGACTGATGCATTGTTTCAGTTTTAAGAATACTAAGTCTGTGACTGTATGTGAAAAAGGTTCATGATCTGCTTTGGTGGAGGGAGAACCCAACTGATGAAACCATACATTCTTCAAGCATTGAAACATAAATGTCAGGAAAGACATATTTTGGATATTTTTTCCATTTTCAAAGAGAGAATGCTTTTGTATTTATTCATTATTCACTCACAAATATTTGTTCAGTCCTTATTTGTGAAGAGCAATGGAAAAGTTTGGTTTAAACTACGGAAGAAAAGGCTTACCCTAAAATAGAACAAATCTAGTGTTTCAGATTTGTGAAATGAATATTACTTAATTCAAATTTGTATGTATATAAATACTATTTAATTGGTATCTGCAAATTCTCAATAGAAGGCTAGATTTTTTAAATCTTTTTGATCAGTTATCAGAAAATTTGAAATAATAGAACTCATTGCATGCTTTTTGTTTTTAAATTTGTAGTAGATTGTTTTTGTTTTGTTTTTTTCTGATTATGTTTTATTTCCTACTCTTCTTTAAGTATAAGTTTGGAGATGCTGTAGTTCAGACTTAAGTTTTACATCTCCATAATCCCCTCTCTCTTCACATTGGTACCACCATTGTAGGTCCTCATCACCACCTAATTAGATGATTACCATCACCTTCTTACATTCCTTCCTACTTATTCTTTCTTCCTGCTCCAATCTACTCTTCATGCCATTGCTAGTATAATCTCCCTTATGTAGATATCTGGTCATCACCTCTCTCTGTCCCAAACATTCAAGTGATTGCCTAGTGTTTATTAAATAAACTATGTAGTCAGCTTTTGAAGGCCCTCCCACACACTAATACCATCTTCTTTCCCACTGCAAACTCATCCTACTACCCTCCATATACTCTATGCCCTGAACTTTTCCATTTTTATGTCTTTCCCAACATTGTTCCCTATAATAGAACCTCGGTATTTGAAAGTGGTCATCTAGTTCAATACAGACCAGAAAGGAATATCCACTATATATAACAAACAAGTGGTCATCTGGCCTTTGCCTGAAAGCCTCCAAGGAGGGAAAACCCATCCTTTGAGACAGCACATTCCACTTCAGGAAAGCTCTAATCATTAGTAATTTTTTCCTGACATATGGCCTCAATTTACCTCTTTGTAGCTTCCATCCACTGCTATTGGTTCTGCCTTCTGGGAACAAAAAAATTACTCTTCTACAAGGTAACCTTTCACACATTTGAAGAGAGCTATCATGTTCTCTCCGGGTCTTCTTTTCTCCAAACTAAACATTTCTAGTTTATTTGGCTGTTCCTTATGACATGAAGTTAAGACATTTACTACCTTGATTTTTCCCCTATGGATACTTTCCAGCTTATCAATCACCTTCTGTTATCTTTCAACTAAAAATCTCAGATTTTTTTTTCAAAATATCTGTTCTATAATAATGCCTCCCACACCACACACTTCTGAATTTGATTGATTTTGTAGCTAGGTGGCACAGTGGATAGAATGTTGAACCTGAAGTCAGGAAGGTTCCTCTTCTTGAGTCCAAATGATACTAATCATGTGCAAAAATACATGTCACATTCTGTACTTGATCTCTCTAATAGGAGTGAGGGGAACATGCTTTTTCATCAGTCTTGTGGAATAATAGTTGCTCATTGCATTTTTTAGATTTTCACAGATCTCTATTGTATGGAGTTTTCTATTCTGTGTATAATAAATATATATTAAGTTCAACCTTTTTCAAAGTTGTCATGCTTTTTTCTGGTCTTCCTTCTGTTCTCTTCTCTGAATTTTTAGTAGAGATATCTCTATGACCCTACTGTCTTTCTCTTCTTTTATTTTTTTCTGATATCTTAACCCTATCCCTCCTCACCTTGCCTGCCCAGACTTCCAACTGTGAGGGGAAAAAAAGAAAAAAGAAAAAGAAAGCTATTATCACAAATATAGTCAAACAAAACAAATCCTCCCATTGGTTATTTCTAAAAATGTATGCTTTCTCTCCTTTAGTTCACCACTTCTCTGTCAAGAAATAGGCAGCTTGTTTTCATCATTAGTGCTCTAGAAGCATAGTTTATCATTGTACTAATTAAAGTTGTCAAGTGAACCAAATTTTTATTGTTAATGTTCTTATTATGTAAATTGTTCTCCTAGTTCTTTCTGCTCATTTTATTCTACATCAATTTGTAGAAGTTTTTCTAGCTTTCTCTCAACCTGTACCTTTCATCATTTCTTATAGTGCAATAATATTGCATTATGTTCATATACTTCAGCCATTCCATAAGTATTAGATGACCACTTCATTTCTAGTTCATTGATCTTACCAAAAAATAATTTTGTAAATATGGGTCCTTTTTCACCTTTTGTGATCTCTTTGGATATTGCTGAGTCAAATGATCACAGTTGAGTAAATGGGTGGTGGAGGGGCAAAGATTTAATTTCCTCTCCAAAATGGCTGGTCCACTTCAAAGCTTCACCAACAATACATCAATGCACCATGAACAATTGCCTTTTTTTTTCTTTTTCTGTCAGCTTTACCAATTTTATGGGGGTGATATGGAATCTAAGAGCTGCTTTAATTTGTATTTCTCTAATTTTAAGTGATTTGGATTTTTCTTTATATGGCTGTTGATATCTTATATTCTTTTCAGAATGTCTGGCTTTTCCTTTAAAAGTTTATTAATTGGGGAATAGTTCTTATTATTGTAAATTTGAATGTACATATGACATATACAAAAGGTGACATCATAAACATGTTAGAAACACAAGGATTCTCATCACAACTCTGTGAGGGAGGTACTATATGAATAAAATGAAGACGAGAGAAGTTAATTGACTTGCCCAGGGTCACAGAGATAGTAAGTGTGATAGTAAGACAATAAGATAGTAAGATAGGAGTTAGGTCTTCCTGACTGTGGTCCAACACCGTAGTCCAAATTTCAGATCTATTGATGTAGAAGAGCTCAAGGCCAAACAAGAAATGGAAAATATCATAGAAGAAATTTTTCAAAGTAAAGCAAAGATCTAATCGTGTGAATCTCCTACCAAATCAACTCTTTTGTTATTATTGTTCAGTAGTGTCCAACTCTTCATGACCCTATTTGGGGTTTTCTTATTGGAGTGGTTTGCCATTTCTTTCTCCAGCTCATTATACAGTTGAGGGAACTGATGCAAACAGGGTTAAATGATTTGCCCAGTGTCACACAGCTAGTAAGTGTCTGAGGCCTGATTTGAATTCAGAAGATATGCCTTCCTGACTTCAGGTTCAGCACTTTATC